CGACATTGTTTCTGCAGTAGGTACTAAAATCTATTATTTACCCATTGTGTGGTATTATTTTACAGCTACTCCAGTTTTTGGTACCATATATAAGATGGTATACAAACTTTATTGATGGTAACTTTATTTGTGTATAAAACTCTCTGTCTGAGCACCGAATATTAACTATAAACTGTGCTCTGGGTCTGCAGTTAAGTTTCCCTCGATTTTTCCTCCACTTAACTTCAAAAAACACAAAACACACAACTGATAACACGAACCAAAATGCAAAAGCAATTCGCAAATCGGTATTTGACATAATTTGACAATTTGACACAAAATTATAACCTATAATTTGGCAAGACTCAAAAATTTTAAGTCGGGTTCATACGCGTATGCGTACATATATCGTTCATCGTTGCGCCAATCCAATAATATTGAAATATGATCTGTCATTTTTAAAATAAACCAATAAAACTGGTTAAAAACAGCAAGAGACGACGCACGACGAATTTATATACAAACCCATCCATAGTTAATTTAAAAAATATTATAAACTTTTTTTAGTGAAATAAATAGATTAGTATGGATGTCATCTGCTTATTTTGTGTCATCGTCTGTCGAAATCTTACCTGAGAAAAAAAAAACAGAGTATACTGTCAAATAGTGATGGGTTGTTATTTAACTATCTGTTATTTTATAACAATTGTTTAGAAATAACATAACGCAACCGTTACTACTTCTAAAAAATAACAGATATAAAATAACGACAGGTAGAGATCGGCCGCTCGTGAAACGAAAAACGAAGTCGGCGCTATGTTGCTCGATTCTATGCTGTTAGAATGTTACGTCAACCATCGATACAGGCGGCGAAACAACGGACAACGGAGTGGGGAATGCGCTACGGCGAACGTAGCTGCTTCGGTCGACGCCGTCGATGGTGGTATTGGGTTTGCAACAGCTTAGAAATAATAGGATATAAAAGAAGCAGGTTTTTTGAAACAGTTGCGGGCATAACGCCTGGCGGTTGAGATAACAGGAGTGGGAAAGGAACGCTGCTGAATCGGTCGATTGTCGATGGAGGCTCGCAACGGGTTGGAGAAGCAGTCATTTTAGATACGTTGTTTTTCAACCTGTTACGAGCATAACAGGGCGGCGGTTTAGATAATCGATGTGGGAAAGGAACGCTGCTGCATCGGTCGATTGTCGATGGAGGTTCGAAACAGGTTGGAGAATAACGCATCAGTTGTTTTAGATACATTGTTTTTCAACCTGTTACGAGCATAACGGGCGGAGGTCGAGATATTATGGCGCTGTATGTTTCAGTTCGTTATTAGGTTTCAATATTTAGGTGTTTATTTATTCTGAAAAATTTTCAGAATAATATTTTAAGTTTTTTTAAAAATGTACAGGGTGTTTTGAAAAATCTGGTCATTAATTAATCACGATCCTGCTTAAAGCCCTTGACGTAAAAAGCTGATTTTTGGAAAACGGATTGACTTTAGGGTGTAGAGGTTCGATAAGAAGGGATTTTTCGAAACTCGAATTCTAAGGGCGTGAAACCACCCTCAAATATTAGAATATTTTTATTTAAAAACCGGTGAGTTTTTTTCGAAAAACTCTTAAACACGTATATTTTATTTCGTTGTTTTACATATTTTAAGATTTTTTAAAAATATATACAGGGTGTTTCATAAAATATGACCATTGAGTAATCACGATTCTGCTTAAACTGCTTGACGTTTAAAGCTGATTTTTGGCAAACGGATTGACTGTGGGGTTGAGGTTCGATAAGGAGGGGTTTCTGGAATCTCAAATTCCAAGAGGGTGAAAACGCCCCTCAAATATTACAATATTTGTTATTTAAAAAACGGTTAGTCTTTCGGGAAAACGCTTGGACACGCATAATTTATTTTGTTTTTTTACATATTTTGAAATTTTTTAAAAAATTATACAGGGTGTTCCAAGAAGTTGAGTAATTGATTAACCACGATTCTGCTTAAACTGCTCGACGTTTAAAGCTTATTTTTGGCAAATGTGAAAATTTTTTTATCCAGTTTGTATGTTAATAGAAATTCTTGCTTTGCTTTATCATCACCATTACAAATTATTAATTCGACGCGAACGAAGTCGCGGGTACACGCTAGTTTAAGTGTAAAATTAATTCGAACTCTAGTGTGTAGTTCGTTTACTTATGACGAATATACTACACATTTTCTTATATTGCTATTTTTTGACCGCAAATGGTAAAATTATAACTAAGAGCTTCTCGCCCGTCGAGTAAGATGCACCCTGTACACTGCTACGCAATTCAGGATCTACGCGGATCGAGGGGCAAGGCGTAGGTAGATCGGAATGTATAGGTATAGACGAGTGGCGGAATTTTGGCTTTTTTATATCGCAATTTGTAAACAGCGCTTATTTGTAAACAACCACCGTTTTTAGAGAGGTATTTTAGATAACAATCGATATTTAGAAATGTTTTGACACCCTGGAAATACTACCACCGAGCATGTCATTGTTGCAACTTGCCACTGCGTTAATATGCCTGGCGGTGACCGCCTCATACTCTTTCAGATATTTAGCAATAAAATATAGAAACCTGTTATTTTTAAGCTGTTATTTTAAGCTGTTTTTTATAAATAACTATAACAGTTTCAACTGTTATCTAAAAATACCTTTGCAACAGTTTTTTTTGCCCATCACTACTGTCAACGTCTAAACGACGTAGTCCTGCGCATTGCCAGCCAAATGCCGGCGTACCAGTGAGACAGGCGCTAGCTACTGGATACGTATAAATCAGCCTTAAAAAGAAGAATACGGTGACAATATTCATTATAAATGTTTTACTCTGTTACGTTGTTACTAAACTTTAGTTACGCTGTTAATATCGCAAAATAATGAATCTATCTCACTGGCTTCCTATTTTTCATAAAGAATTAAAATTATATCTAACTGATCACTGATCTCTGTCGTTTCAGAATATTTCAACTTCCCGATCTATCTCTGGTGGAGACCGGAGTAAAACAGTACAGACACCCCCCTCGAGCTGTTTTCTGCTGCGGGGGTTAGAGGGATGAAACAAAGCAATAAGAAAGAGAGATTTGCATGGTAAGCCGTTGAGATCAGGGCCCGCGGCATTCTAGGCCCTTAACTCCTGTTTATCCTGTTTTAATTCGCGACTAGTGCAGGAGCCCGCGGGGGATGAAATCCCGCTCCCAAGCACGTGTTCGGGGTCGCATCGTCGGGCCTTGCTGCTGCCTCCAGCCAACTATTACTATAACGCCATTTTGGAAATGGTCGTTGTTTTGGGGGTAGTTACATTAGCGATGGGGAGGGAAATGAGGGTGGTGCGGTGGTGTTAGTAAAGCCAAGATTTTATTAGGATTATTATTGCCTTCTGAAGGCTGAAGGTTGTAATCACATTACATACACATAATACACATTATCATACACGTATCGCTTCCGGCACGTAAAGTTTGCGTTCCAGCAACCGGACTGTGTATTCACATATTCATACATGAAGCGTTGATAAAACATTATTTTTTATGATAATGTGCACAGACGATTTGGACCACCAAAAAAGTTCGTATAAATGTGTGTCCTAAAATGCTTAGTTTTGGAGATACAGGGTGTAGAAGTTTAATTTTTATTTCGATTTTTTTCAAAAAAAATCGTCACGTCAATATTTGGATGAAATTTGGTGTCTGGAAGTTTTTTGACATGAGAAATTTGATTTTGATGTCAATAACTCCTACTTGTAGAGGGCGCCACCTACATATTTTTAACTGTTTTGAAGAAACTGGTTTGAAGAATAATAACTTTTCATCCGTACCTGTATAAAATTACTGTTTTATCATCATTATTTTATCATCATTTTTTCGAAGAAAAATTTATGATTATTTTAAAAATATGAAAAGTTCCCAAATTTATCATTTCAGTCAAATGATTCAGTCATTTATGTCAATAATAACATATATTCACTACTTCCGTTCTAAGTATCTTGAAAACGGTTGCTTGTAGCGATTTATACCAAAAGCCCTTTTTACGTAAAAAAATGTCTTAAGTGTATATTTTTTACTCAGTAGTTTTATACAGGTACGGACGAAAAGTTATTACTATTCAAAGCAGTTACAACACATATAGGTGGCGCCACCTACAAATAGGAGTCATATTAACTTCAAAATCAAATTTCTCATGGCAAAAAACTTCCAGACACCAATTTTTATCCAAATATTGACGTTACTTCAGAAATTATTTGGAAAAAATCAAAATAACACTTCTACACCCTGTATCTCCGAAACTAAGTAATTTAGGACATATATTTATACGAACTTTTTTACTTATTTTTATCTGTAATTTTCGAATAAGCATAGACCTCTTATCGAAAACGAAATCTGGAGACATACTGTATAAGGTAAATAACCAACAAGTAATAAAAGAAAAATAATATATTATTTTCTCACGTCTTTTTAATCTGTTTTACAATATTTTAACTAAAAATTAACTTTTTTAACTAAAAGCCTTCCTGAAAGATTAGGAGATATAATATTTTTGACAATTTGGCGAAGGATATTTTTAAAATTATATTATTTCTAATAATTTTAACTCTACATAATTCATATTGCTTCTCTGCTATTTTTTTATTACCAATGTTTTTATAAAGCTTGTATTGGATATTTTTAATAACTATACGAAAATAAGTTTAAAATTATTTAGTTAAATACTAAAAAAATCACAGAAAAATAATCATATTTACTATATTGGACAAACTTACATATTTCTTAATAACCCGCGTAAAATATTTTATCTCTTTTTAACTCTTGTCATTTTGTATGAATAGTATTCAGTTCAGAACCATTTATGTTAATAAATATTTTGACAAATTGGTGAAGGGATTTTTAAAACAAATCGCAATAAAATAATATTTTCTGTGTCAAATTACTATATCCGATTACCTCATGATTTTTCTTGTGTTATTTCAGTATTTTTATTGAAAATACATTTAATAAAAAAATAACTATGGTTTAATTTTTTATTCCAACAATATTTTATTATTTCATAGGAAATTACATTACATTCTAATATTTACTTACAGTTTAACTATTATAATTTATAATGAGTTATTCATCGATAGTATTATTAACCTGCTGTCTTCTAATTGTTTTCCTGCTTCTACCACGCTTTCGATATGGCAATGTATTAACCTCCACCTCTCTGTCAGGAAGACCCGGTATGCTCATTACCCAGAAATTGCAAAACTTCGAACCGCAAACTTTACAGAATTGCGATCCAGTTTTAGTCTGACAAAAGTCTGCTTCTGTGGTGCAGCCTCTAACGTAGGGTTCGTTATGGTCATCTGAAAACAAAAGAAAAATATCTATCTGAGAACAGCAACGGTTTATAATATATATATATATATATATATATATATATATATATATATATATATATATATATATATATATATATATATATATATATATATATATATATATATAGTAGGGTTCGTTATGGTCATCTGAAAACAAAATAAAATATCTATCTGAGAACAGCAACGGTTTATATTATATATATATATATATATATATATATATATATATATATATATATATATATATATATATATATATATATATATATATATATATATATATATATATATATTCTCTGAACCCTCCCCCATAGCAAATATACATATAGTTATAGTGTAGCTAGACGATTAGTTCTTAAAAAACTCTTGAAAAGGCCTAACAAGCCGAAACATATATGTAGAGTTAAAGTTACTCTTATTAAAAGTTTTTTGATACATCTAAAGCGTGTTTTATTAAAATACTAACATTTCAACGATGTTTCACAAGGAACCAACCACAGCTTCAGTACAATTTAATAAAGTTTTTAACCTATCCTCGCTGTTAAAGTATCATTTAATCTACCCTTGCGATTGAAGTATTATTTTATCTACTATTTTTGATAGATATAAGGCAATTTTAACAGTTGCTATAGAAAAAAATATATTTTTGCATTTTTTTGCTTCTAACAACAACGGGAGTGTCATTTTCTGTTTGGCAGGCGAATTTGTTATACCTGTAAAAAGCCACTAACTAAAATGATTCCTATTTAAATTCAACGCAGTGATATTTACAAAAATAAATTATTTTCTTCTACTTCAATTTGGAAAAAGATCATTAAAAAAATTCAACTCTATATCAACAACTCTTGACGGTTCTTTTATAAATTGTAATTAATTAAGTTATGGTATACTTACTGAAAGCTAGAGCATAACATTTAGCATAAGGTCCAGAGCATTCGGCCATCTTGGGTTTAAATTTTCTTTCGCCCAAACGGCATTCACTATCTACTTCTTTGGATGTACAGAACAGACATTGCAAAGCTGAAACTAAAAACAGAAATTAAAATACAACGAATTAACATCATAAACAAAAAAGTAAATGAAAAAACAGCGTGTGCACTATGTGCGCTAGGGAATGCAATCCCGCAAATGGTGGATCCCGCAAATGCGGGATCCCTCTAAGATTCCGCGGGATCAAAGTTGCGGGATTTACCATGCGGGGTCTGCGGGATCAACACATCACTACTGGGTAACCGAATCGATCTCCATCAAGGTCAAACCGCTTCGTTCCGGGCCGATGCGTCGACGCTCGGAACCCGGGGGATTCCCCTTACGGCTTGACAATTAAAAATAAGTGAAACAAACAGGATAGTTGTTAGTTTTCTTTCTGGCGTATGTGCGTAAGTGAAGAAAAGCGTTTAACTAGTACATGTGGACAATTTCGTCAAATAAACTGCCGGATATAGTTATCGGGACGAGCAAAATTTTACGGTAAATTTAAAGTTGAATATCTCTTGAACTAAAAAAGATTTTGGGATGCTGTTTGGACCAGGTTTTAGATGCATCTATTATAACTAACACAAGTTAAAAAAACTGCAACATTAGAGTAATATTTTTATTTATAAGAAAAAAAATATTTATTTATAAGTAGATAAATTAAAATAAAATTTAAGTTTATTTATCATTAAATATATTTTTGAACACTCTGTATACATCGGTCCAAATTGCTGTACCAGCTAGATTAAAATGTACATTATATACGCATATTTACATTATAAATGCATATTTTTCGAAAAACCTCGTATTTTCCTTAAAACAAAAAAATTAAAAAAAAACCACCAATTACTTTTTTCTAATTTCAATACAGATTAGTAGTGCATAGCTAAAATTTCGATTTTTCAAAAATTGTAAATTTTCGGTAAAAAAGATTCTTAACCAAATTTGTACACTATTATAAAACACCCTGTATACGAGAATTCGCTAAATATATTTTCGAAAACCATATGGCCTGTTTTTAATTGCACAAAACCTTTTTATTAGCAAGTTTAATAGGTTGAGTACAAAGAGGAGCATTTATTGTTTACAGTCCCGCAATTTTGCGGATCCGCGGGATTGATTGCTTTAATCCCGCGGGTTTGCGGGATTGAGATTTTGGTGCGGGATTGCATTCCCTAATGTGCGCATATTTGAGTGTGAAACTTCTTACTAACAGCTTTTAAATTGAAGGATTTCAAGGACATGTTTGAATAAGTGACATATAATGCTGTTTTAATATAAATGTTATTTTCAATTTATTACGGTAATCTGTACATTTTCTGTTTCCTCAATAACCGGCAAATTTAGTGGTATACCGCCCAAAATACACACTTTTATGCAAATGCCTAGTAATGTCAAAGCTTAAATTTATTTAAGAAGAGAAAAAATTTTGAACCTAACCAACAATTCGTATTTATAGTGATTTACAGTAATTTTGTTAAATTATAGGAATATTCTCGTTGATTATTGGTTTGATATAAATGTGACAATGTCCTCCAATGAAAATGCGAGTTGCTTAACTCTAATAATTCTATTTTTGACCTAGCAAATGAGTTAGATGCTTCGCCTAGACCGTTATTCAGAGACTACAAGACTATCGATGAATATATGCATGAAAATTTATTTCCTAGCACACAACTAGAGGATATTGGTACACAGGTACGGTACATATCAAGTTTATTATAATTAAATCTTTTCTTAGCTTTAAATCAAATATTTTTTGGCGTTTGCCCTCAATGATGATGTTCAATATTAATTTTGTCTGAGTCTGTATAACTGTTAGGGTAACATTTTAATTTGGTTTAACGTACAATATATATTTTAACTAAATATCATTCTATACAAGGTACCTAAATTAAAATTTAGGTAGCTTTTATTGAAATATGTAATAATTACTTTGTTTTTCAAATATTATGCGATAATTATTTTAAGTAGTGTAATTCTACTTACCAATTTGAATCCAAAACACTAGAACCACACAAATTGCTACAAGTATTTTCGCCATGACACAATCGAAGAATTCAAAATTTTTAAATGTTCGACGAAGATGCGACAAAATTTGGAAAGTAACTCATCAAGGTTTACAAAAGCGGGCTGCCTCGGTGCAAACGAATTCTTTCTTTTTGGTTTTGTTATGATTTAAAACAGGTTATATCGCCTGAAAAGAAATAAAAGCGAAATTTATTTAGATTGATCGTTGGGTGACATTTTAGACAAAAGCAAGCATTAATTATGTTTAATACGTGATTTTTACTTTAATTTTTTTATAAGAAGCCTTTTAAAAATATTATAATACTATTAACTTTGCAAAAATAGTTTTGTAAATAGAGTTTAAGATTGAAAGTTCAATGTGATTAATCCTATCCATGACTTTGTATGGTCTTTTCCACCACAATTGTCGCTTAGGTGATAATCCACGTCTCTGAGGCTTGTTTAACCATACCAAATTTCCTGGCCGGTATCCTCCATGCTCGGCTTGAATGTCGTAGTGCTCCTTCATTCGATCACTAGTACTCTGAAAATTTACTTGAATTTGCTGATGAATGTTATCCATTTATTTTTGGATATTAAGATATAATATACAGGGTAGTCCGAACTGTATTCTGGAAACTTCGGCAGCATATTCTGCAAATAAAAATAAGTAAATAAAAAAGTTTGTATAAATGTATGGCCTAAAATGCTTCAGAGATACAGGGTGTAGAATTTTTATTTTTATTTTCATTTTTTTCCAAATAATTTCTGAAGTAACGTCAATATTTGGATAATGATTGGTGTCTTGGTGTTTTTTGACATGAGAAATTTGTATTTTATGTCAGTATGTCCCTTACTTGTAGCGGGTGACTGATTTGAAAAGTAATAACTTTTAAATAAAAATAATTTTCTTGATTTTTTAAAGCCAACTTTCCTTTATCTACGCGACTGAAACTAAGCCCTTGATTCCTCCGAATTCCCCACCAATTTGCCGGACTTTGTCGCAGCATTAACCGCTCGCCAATCTTACGCCTCCCTAATCCAGTGCCGTAGCACGAAGGTGGGAACGAAAGAGTACGGAGGGATAACCGTAATTCCGATAATGAATTACCGCCAAAAGGGTTTGTCTAAATAGCCGGAGGGGGCCGTTCTGGGAGAGGTCCGAGATATCCGGTTGGGCCAGTGTTGACTTAAGTTGTTCAAAGCCGGGATTTGTCTCTATTAGATGGCTGCTAGTAGTTAGTCCTCGGCAAATAAATATGGCGGTGTAATAAGGCAAATAGATGGATTTAGGGCTTAGTGTTTGCCGAGGAAGAGTAAGTCTTAATTGCTTAATGTGTATACACCAGCGGAATAATAATAGTGAAATACCGGTTGTAGTTTTAGCTAGAAAGATAGAGAAATTTTGCTAGATTTTAAAAATAATTGTGAAAAATATGGAAATCGAATTCCTTTTGCTCTAATGCAATAAACTAAATAATTTTTTTCCATAGCAACTGTTAAAATTGCCTTATATCTATCAAAAATAGTACAGAAAATAGTACTTTAACCGCAAGGGTAGATTAAATGATACTTTAACAGCGAGGATAGTCTAAAAACTTTATTTCTTCTCGCACGTTTTTTAATTGCTTCCATTTTTGAAAATATTCCTTTTCATTCAGAAGTTATTCGGGATTTAAGTGGAAGTAGTTTGGATATGGCGTTTGTCGCCTCAGCCTGAATATCTGTTGGTAATTTACTTATTTCGTTTTGAGCCATTTCTAGCTCCAATTCAATTAGCAGTCGACACAAAAGAGAATTAAAAAATATTGACTCAAAACTGGCAACTAAAGAGACAGCTTTATTTATTTGTCAAATTACATGGAAACTAACGCCAACCCAGCCCAATATTTTTTCTACTCGTAATAATTCCTTCAAATAATTTCTGAATATTTTTTAAACGTAACTTGCTATAAAAAAAATATTGTTTTATACACGACGATAAAATTGCATTATCGTCTCCCGAAATTAATTCACTTGCAATTTCATCGCTCGTGAATTAATCGTTTCGGTCGACGATAAAATACCATTTTATCGTCGACTGTCAATACAAAATTTTTACTTTGTTACTAAACTGTCCAATGAAAGGATACCTGACAGCCACAGTTGTTATCTGTTATTTTAGTTCAAAGGTAAATTAAATTTTCTGTTATTTTTTGGATGTTGTCCGTTGAAATCTTCAATGGCCCGTTGGACAAATTGTGTGGTCTCCTGGGTAACTCTATGTGACCTATATAAAGGGATTCTTTATAGTAAATCAATGAATACCTGGAAATAAATTTAACATATAGGATGGTCCAAACTGTATTTCGGAATCTTTGGCAGCATGTTCTGCAGATAAAAATAAGTAAAAAAGTTTGTAACTAATGCATGTGTTGGAGATACAGGGTGTAGAAGTTTCATTTTTATTTCAAATTTTTCCAAATAATTTCTGAAGTAACAAAGTCAATATTTAGATGAAAATTGATGTCTGGGAGTTTTCCGACATTTCTGTGATTTTTTACATAAAAAATCTAGACAAAAAGAGATGGCAGTGGGTATCTTACATACATAATTTCTGTTTTGTGACTTTTTATATTAACCTTTATAATAAATATTATAATTATAAACACGTGTTTCATTAAATTAATTACTATTTACTAACGCTTTATGAATTTACAAAAGTAGTTTTAAATTCAATACAATAAAATATTTTAATTTGTTGTTACTCTAAAAAATATTGGTGAATATAAATATAGGTATAACATATTTCCATATATGCCACAAATTAGCCATACAGCGATTTTACAAACGAGTTGTAAAATTAAAGAACGGATGGTAAATGTACTACAATAATATGTGGCAAAAAATTACCCTCAATAGTGTTATTAAATTCACAAATTATTTTTTTCAGTGTATTTCTGCACATTACTTAACATGATAAAGTGTATTTTTACTAAGATTTCATTTCTTCTTCTAGTATGACTAGAGACTCATTACTACAACACCTGAATTTATGATTCAACTAAGTAACAGCAAATGCATTTATATCGGTTGATAATACATTTACAGTACTACAATTTTGTATCAACATTTTTTGCTCCATTTTTTTGCGATGCACGCTACTGAGTCCTAGGAGGACGTAGAGAGGAGTCTAGAATATCCACCGGGATTCCCCCCGGATGAACGCCGCTCACCAATCCTTTCTAATCCAACGGGAAGCGAAGGGGAGGCTAGACGACGGAAATGGGGTGATAACCCTCCGATTAAGGGACTAATTGTCCAGGCGCAGGATGCGATTGTTGCATCCTGCGGGATTGAGGGGCAATGTCAGGACAGTGGACATCGTAGGGTTTCAGAGGGAACTGTAGAGGTATTGGTTTATAATTAGGAGGCAGCGAAGCGTATGCGACAATCTGGGATAGTATTTGACTTAGTATTGTGTAAAAGTCGAATAAAATCTTGATATGTAAATATTTAACACCAGATATCCCCTGGGTTTTGTAGTATTAGTTTTTTTTACAAATTATCTTACCAAATACTTATAATTCTTGGTTTTTACAGCGTGAAACCTAAGTTTTAGTACACAAACAATAAACACAGAATATTCCGAAGAAGCACAGAAGCTTATATTCTATGTATTAAAATTAAATGTATTAAAAACAAAAAAAAAAATAAATTAATGTCTGGCTTGTATAATTATTGCCCTCTCCAAGAAACAATGTAACTATGATGCCCAAGAAGATCTTTGTATTCAAATACTTAAATATCAAGGACGATTAATAAAAATATTTTTTAATGAACTTAATAATAAATAATTTATTTCTATTCTTCTCATTTTTCGTAAATTAATATTCTGGCGTAATTATTAATCAAGACGAAAGCTAGTATTTTTAGGTTAAGAATCATCTAATTATTGACAGTTTTTTTAAAATGTAAAATATTGCACTGACGTTATAAGATAATGTTCACCAAAAGGCATGGAACTTTCCGTACAGTGCGAAATTTCTAAATTTGTAGAATTAATTTCCCTTCATCATTTTGACAACAAAAATTGTATTAAAAACCATTAAGTCATGAGTCCTTTTATGCAAATATTTTAATACTACAAATAAAACTAAATTTTCCAAATTTTAATTTTGAATTACTCAAATTATGGTGACACACAGGAGGTGGTTTATATTTAGGAAATATTATTATATAAGAGTAAGTATATTTTTTATAACATAATTACTGAGGAACGAGCGTATTTTTACTCTCTTTGATTTGTTTGTAAAAATATTTTACAGCGCCTCTAGATTATACTTTCTTATAATTATTATAGAAAAATAATATTGGATTTATAATTCTACCGTCACCATTTTGTCAAAAATATACACTTTGCAATTTTAATTATTATAATTTGAGATACCCCTTTAAATGACTATACTTTAAACATATTATATGTTTAAAAAATATATACTTTTTATATTCTATCCTTGCTTTTGAAATAATAGCCAGAATACACTATTTTGATTTTTTTTAATTCTACTATTGATAAATTGTGAAACCCGTAACACATTATACAGGGTTGCTCACCACATACGACACGGAGTATTGTAGCTAAACGATGAGATTTTTACAAATTGTAAGTTTGGGGTTCGTTTTAAATAATTATTAGATTCAAACGGCAATAACTTCTTTAATTTAAATGGAAGGCCCTGTATATTTTAGGAGAATCAGGCAAAAAGAAAACTATTTAAATCTTTATAAAAGAGTATACCATTAATTAAATATAACACTATTATTTCCGCCCATATACTAATTAATTACATACTTAATTGTGTTCGTTAATAAATTATTATAAATAAATGTGGATTTGAGTCAGAAATCAATATAATAATAAGTTATCAAATTAAAGTCTCTGTTGTTATAAATAAGCATTTATTAAAAAATGAAATATCATTTTTAAGGTGTTACTTTTTATCACACTGTCTAATGCCCATACAAAATTCAGTTTTTTAGTATTTGGAGCAATTATTATTAATCAACGCAAACAGTCAGTTAATGTAGTTTGAATACTGGAGTCATATTAATTGGTCCTCTTTAACAAATATTTAA